TCTATATAAAAGCTGAATGGAGGTATAACGCTTCAAAAAGGAGAGGATAGTGGCATGGGGCAGGGAGAAAAGCACCATATAGGCAGTGAAAAATGCATCAGCCTTTACAGGAGAGACAAGTAAGTAGGTAAAAGATGCAATCAGCCTTCACCACTTTGCTTTTTTTCTTATATGCCTCTTAGCTGTGTTGCTCAGCACTGTGTTTGTGGAGGTTTATACACTCCGACAAATTCTGGTTGCTACCTTAAGAGCATTTATTCCTCATGGAAACTCATTTCACATCTCATCAGTTACAGCAATGAGATGGGGAAACCGATTTCTTGTTTCTCTGAGGTATGTGCATGCTGGGCGGATGGCACAGCTGCAGCATGAGCTGAACTGAGTCCTGGCCTGAGGTCCCCCACACCTCCTCTGGGCTGAGTGATCTCCAGGTTTACAGCCCCCCTCTCCTTAAAGAGCAGCTCCAGGCACTGCCAGAGAAATGCACTGCTTTCATTTCAGCTCCACTTTAGCAAGTTAGACAGCAGTAGACATGAGCATTTGATTAAGGTGTGCTGCATCCATTTCCATGTATTTGCTCCCTTGCACAGAGCCCTGCGATGTAACTCAGGATCACTTAGGACAGACAGTGCCCGAGAGACGTTTTCAGACACTGCCAGCACTTGGCCTGTTTGGTTTGCAGGGTTCATGACACTATTGGTAAGTCATGAGTATTCGTCCGTGAGCTCTGGTCTCAAGCAAACCCAGAAGCCATGGAAAAACCACAGAGCATCACAAGACTCTTGCAAAAAACCCCTACCTATTAAAATATCTGTTTACTCAAGTTATGAACCCATTTACTTCTGGAAACTGCTGAGCATTTTGGTAAAGTTATGGCAAACTTCCAGGTTATAAAAAAGACCCGAGATCTCATTATTAGCATTCCCCAGGGCAATAAAGAAAAAGATACCCCTTACCGTGGCATTCTCATTTTCTCATTTTCCCTGGTGTTGCATTACTTCTTGCAATTGGACGTGATAGGAAAGAGCTGTACAGTCTGTTCAGGGAACTGGAGCAGCACTCACAGCTTGGGGAAATTAAAGGCTACACGTGATAGCTATTAGTCCTGCCATACTAGGAGGGAGCGCTCGGTGATGAGTACGATGTGAGGCTTTGAATAGGAACTAAGTGGAAACTAAAAAACATTAAGAGCTGAAGGAGAAGTTAACCTTGAAATCTCTCTGGACTAGAAGACTTTGTCTCAACAAACACTCTGGGCATTAGTGTCCCCACAGCTGCCAGCACGCAGCTACTCTGGCACTGCAAGGCACCGGCTACAAAGCCAAAAAGGAGCCTATCGCTTCTGGAAAATTTGCCTGCCTGTCTTTCTCCCAGAAATACTGGGTAGCTCAGAAATGCCAGACAACTTTTACGTGATTTCCAGTTGCATTTTTACTGTTGAGGACGAGTATATCCATGTGCAGGACAAGCAGCTCTGGTGGGTCCAGGAGCTCAGTAGATGAAGCTCCAGGGTAGCAGATAAGCAAAATCTGCCTGGCAAGAGAAGCGGTCTGGCTTCTGCAGGATTGTTTCAGCTGCTACAAACACCTTCTTTGTTCCACTACCTTATACTTCCTTCTGGTGTCTTTTGCAAGCAAATAAAAGTAATTGGAACTTGTATTTGAATCTCGCATATATTCTCCTGCAGCAGAAGGTGGAGATTTTTAACCAAATTAACAGCGCTGGGGATTTGATAAATTGTGAAGCTCTGTCCTTCATTATGCAACTAAAGGCTTTTTGGTTAAGGTTAGTAGGTTTCAAACTGGCTTTGAAAAGAGTAAACCAGCTCCACGGTTCTAAAACCAGCATGTCAAGAAGCCAAAGGAATTAAGGAGAATAAAGAATAAAACTTATTAGCTGTGCGTGGCTAATAATAATAATAATAAAGTGGAAAATAGTTTGGACAAAAATTAATGGACACATCTTCAGTATGTCATACATGAATTTATCTGCATGACTTCCACTCATGTTAATGGGAGTCACTTGGCTAAATTTCTGCTCAGTGAACTGTTAATTCATCCCTAAGGGATTAAGTTTAAATTTAAACTTACAAAAGCCATTTAATGTTAAAGCTGAAACACTGTCTGGAATTCATACGGTTTTCAGAGAACAAAGGAGTAGTAAAATAAATTAGCAGTGATGTATTAGTGTGAATACTGAATTTCCTGAATTTACTGAATAATTTAGGGGGGTGTATGTCATGACATCCTGGTTCTGACCAGGTTAGTGTGATATTCTGATTTCCCAGCTCCCAAACATACTTGATAACATGTTTATAATCACCATTTTTTTTCCTAGCTACTGTCAGTTGTTGGTCTAAGTTCTGATACAGATGTGACCCAGGATTCTGTAATTTATATTTTACTTCTAATTCTCTCAGAATCCTTCTGAATTGTGCACCACTCGTATTTAAGGGCTGAAATTCCATATAGGTTTAATGTGCTAACAAATAAAATTCCTTTTTATCATTATAAATTAGTTCCCTTTCAATCTGTGTGACTCTACCTATTCTTTTCTTAAGGAAGAAACAGGAAGACCTGTTTTTCTTCTAGGTACTACTGATTATTTTCTATCTTTCACTGTGTCCTCTCTTATTCCCAGTTTTTTCTAAATGAAATTATCCAAAACTTTTGAGCCACCTTCTTTACAAATGCTTTTGATGTCTATCTTCTTCTGTATCTCTCCTGATGTATGTTTTCTGTTTCTATACATCTTTTCTACTTACTTCTTTCTAAGCACCAACGGTTAAAACCAGGAATGAGCACCCCACCAATTTATCCAGACCATAATAATATTTGCTCTGTTATTCCCTGTTCTTCACCTCAATTTCTGAAGACGACTGTCACTTTTTTTTTTTTTAAACTATCATCACTGCACTAAACAACTGTTTTCCTGAAGCTCTTCATGGTGAATTGCTACTTGACCTTTAGTCCAACTTCCATCCTTCATTTCTTCCTCCTCCTTTCATGCACCCAGTGTTATATGAATAAATAGTTGTGATTACTCATCCTAATGCTTGCTGCTTTTCTAAACTGCATTTATAAGTAGTTCCACAGGCCTTCTGAATTCCCTTGCAGCCTTCTCTGCTGTTAAAGCACGTTATCTCCTCTGCTAGCTCTCATTTTTGCCACCTCTCTGTTCACGTCCCTCCAGACTGATTATACATGAAATAACAATCTGTGTGCTGGGGGCACCCACAGACAGCCACTTCCTATGTAGAAAATTGCTCATCTCTTTCACCTCTTCGCTCTGTTCTCTTAACCAGCTTCTAATACATGTCTGATCTTGTCTGGTGGACTGTTCGCTCTCTGAAGGAGGCGCCAAATCTTTTAGTATTCTTGTACAATGTTGTGGTGCTGTATAAATATTTATTCATACATAAGGCATTCTGAGTTCATTTTATCAGCTCATAGTCATCAAGGTGTTTTATACCTATTAATTTTTTTCCAATTAACTTTTCTACCACTGAGATAAGGCTTTCCGCTCTGTAATTACCAGGGTCATCCCCTGCATCTTGCTTAAAATTAGATAAAATGTTAACTATTCTCTGGTCCTAGCTGATGTGGAATACGTCCTATTTTGCAGTTATTTGTGAGAAAAAAATATCTTACCTTGGAAAAGAGTAACCACACTGCTCACAGTGAGGCAAAGGTCTCACCTTCAACAGCCTTCTGCTGTTGCAGCCCTAGGGTCTCCCAGGTTAATGCCTTTAAGGTAAGAGCCCACACCACATCCAGATTTGAAGTCCATAAAGTTCATTTTCACTTGAGACTTAAGCCAAGTGGCAAATCAGCTGCTTTCCTCATTTTTTTTCTCTCTAAATAGGTTCTGAATGGATTAAAAATAAATATAATGGACTTTGACCTTATGCTAAAATTTCGCCTTCCTAAAAACTTGCTGAGTGGGAAAAAAGCTAAGACTGAAAGATTCAACTGCTTCCTACAGGTAATAAATCTGGAAGGGAAGAGAGTTTACAAGTGACTTAATTGTCATGTCTAAGCATGGTCATAAGTTTAAAAGACAGAGCACAAAACAAGAGGATATGCAGTCAGATGCCTCAAGGAACATATGTTTCTGTGTTACTAAAAAGGGTATTTCCAGTGGTATATGCATTCACGTTGTATCAGTCCGTTGCTGGGAAAAATCAGTCCAATGTAAGCCTCATTCTTACAACAAAGTTCACTAGGATGCTGTGGTAGCATCCACAGAGAGGTGGCAGAAGTTCTCTCCAACTTCTAAATTAATCTACCTATAAATACCTGTTAACACCCCTTTCTAACATACAAAACCTCCTTCCACTCTGCTCATTCACCACTTCCAAGTGCAAATCACTGGCCAATTGTTTGTATCCACTGTATATCCCAAAGGCAGATGTTCATCAAGAAAATAGTAGAAGTTCTGACAAAACACAAACTGCAGTATCCTGAAGCTGTGCTGTGTATATTGTAATACATATTTGTATTATATATTGTAATGTGACATTAAAGACATTAATACTAAACTTATTTAAAATCAGGCCTTTCTGCAGGTCGACTGCGTGGGTGTGTGTCTTGCTGTGGCTTACTGCAGTGGAAGGCGTGAATGCTGCTCCATGAGGTACCAAGCTGGTATCTAGCATGGACAGCAAAAGCAATGCTGTTATCTAAGTCTTAGCTCCACCTGTCTGGAAGCCTAAGCAGATGCTTCACCTCAGAAAGAGTGGTGACCACAGGGGGCATTCACTTAAACACTCTGGTCTTTCTCAAATGATAACATCTTTGCTCATGACACTTCACTGCAGTCAGTGATTTTTGCCCAATGGTATAGCATAATGATAGTAATATAACATGATATAGCATGATCACTGTAACTTGATCATCAATATGAGCAGCACACATAGCTCTGAGAAAAGCCTTCAGAATCAACGCAAGCAGTAAATACCCAGAAGAAGTACCAAAGAAAAGAAAAAAGAGTGAAAATACCTCATGATATTTTTTCACTGTTTTCCCTGACATGCACGTGCAGGATTTCCAGTTCGAAGTCCCACAGCCACAGTTTCCTCCACAGCGCTGGACGAGGAGGCAGCGGGGGAAGAAAACTACATTTGTCAGCTTCAGTTCCTCCCTTAAATTGACAGAGTAGTTTCTTGGAGTGCAGCTGTAACGTTTCACATCATCATTCAACCTGTCCAGGTCAACTGCAATGCAAAAGAGGTTTCATTAGTAAGGTCTGAGTGGGACATCCCTCTGGTTTATACCGCTCCCCAGGCAGCCAATAACACAAAGTGACACTGGTTGGAAAATATGTGAAGTATAGCAATGATTTCTGAACAGATAAATATAAACTCAACAATTTTAAATCATTACAGGTGACCGTCCAGGCTCTCATTCTGCTCCCGCTGACTCCCGTAGCAGAGCTCACACTGAGTGTAAAGGTGAAGGGAAGGCTTACAGTAAAATATTGGCCTGAAAGCTGAAGACTGGTTATTTTATTTGCTTGGTCACTGATCTGTTGGATCCTTGGGTAAGAGATTCCACCTCTGCTGCTCTCTTCCCTCCTCTGCTTATACCTAGCTTACTTAGATTACAAACTCCTTTTTGTTATTATGGGCATAACTCCTTTTGCCTAACTGCAGGCATACAAGAGGCAAACACTTTAAACAAGGCTCTTCGTGTGGTCAGAAGAGAAACTTCTTTGGAGAGTGATTCATCCCTTCCTCAAAAGGGCATTTAGGACAGGTGGCATGACTGGCTTTCTCAAATTGCCTGTCTGTATTGTTTATGGACAGAATCTAGATAAGTCTCTTTTAGATGGAGAAATCAATCTAAGCAATATTAATTTCAGCTGGTAAATGCTAGCATAATAGGCATACAAATAAATAAAATTAAAACTAATGGGCTTCACTGAATGCCAGTAGTTGGTTGATGTTTAGATGCCTGGTATCTCTGTGAGATGTGTCATGTAAAGAAGTAGTAAAGCCAACCATAAAAATAACTTATAGACTATCAGCTGTGAGTTTAAGTGCTGTTCCTAGCTTTGGCTTGTAAAGCTAAAACAAAACAAAAAACTCCACCGTCCATAAATACATTTTCCACAATTGTAACACAGATAAAAGTAACAAATTTAATGAGTTTTATTTCTAAAGAAGTCTTCTGATTTCTTTTCCCCTCCTTTTCTACTTTTTTCTTTTCCTTGGGATTCTGTCTACCAACTAAGTGTTCAAAAATTCAATAATTCATTCAGGATTGGAGGACATGTGAACTTGTCTTGAGAAGCGAGGACCTCTGGATTGAAACTGAGAACCAGAAAGAAAACTAAAATGCATTTTGAACTCATTGAACTTGAAAGCTGAAGAAGTCATCTTCTTTTGATTCAAATCTTTAAATTTCAGAAAATAATGGAAAACTGGAAACCAGAAACACCATGTCTCACTGACAAATCAATAATTATATCATCACCATTCTTTTTTAAAAGACAAATAAATTTAAAATATAAATTAAGCTGATCAAGAAAAAAGAACAGAAAAGAACTGGAGCGTACAGCAGACAAAAAATAATCCTGCCTACCCCAAATAGTATTTTCTAACAGGCACATCAACAGGAAAAGAGGAACGGCTGAAATGAGAACTGAAATAACGGTCTAGTGTTTGTGAACGTATCAGATTTTCATGGGCATCCTTAATAGCTCACTGCCACCTGTGGTCCTGAGTGCACCTATGCTTGTGCTTTACTATAAACATGTGAAAACCTCCAACAAAGACAGAGGCACTACAATGCTCCCTAACTTCTGTGACTCAGCCCTTGTCAACATCATGAAGTAAATTGTGGGAAAAGCTGTGATTTGTAAATATCATGCACCTTTACATTCTGTCCTGGAGATATTCGCAAGGCAGATATGCAAGAGGCAAGGGTACGTAAATGTCATGAGTGCTATTATAGAAAATCATAGCAGCTTCACTTTTCTGGCAAAGTGTTATCTCAGTCAAAAAGAATTTAGCAGATAAATTGTGATTTTATAGCAATTGTGATACATCTCGCCATGAAATCTCAGTGGTTCTCTCCGGAGAGCTAGCCTCTCTCCAAAAGAGGTATAGATCATCCTCCTGATATAAGCAGAAAATCAATGGGGCTGCTGGTATACTCATGCACTGGGAGAAAAATACACTCCGAATGTCCACAGCCAGGACTTAGAAGTCCAGAGAATATTGATTTGTTTTAACAGATGATATTTTGTCCTCCGCTGTCATTCTCCAAAGCCACCCCTTCTCATTGCAGGCTCTCCAGCTAATTCTTCTCTCAGGGAAGTGTTTCCCACTCCCCTAAACATTCTCATCAGGACTTTTGCCACCAGCTTTGCTTACCGATAAAGCAAAGATGTTTCTGGCTACTATTCATTTCAGGCAATTCACATGAAGGAAAAATTAATCAAAGGAAGAAGAGAGCAGAGAATATTTTGCCTTCATGAATAATGAGATTTCTTGAGAGGAAAGCCTGAATCATCCACACTCTGGCACGGTGGCAATCCAGGGGAATGGATACTGATATGGGCAGGCTGCTATTGGGACAGGCTGGCCGCCGACTAGGACGGCGTTTGCCGATGCTGCATCTCCAGACAGAGTTAGAAAAAATGCTTGCAGGCTTAATTTAGCCTGTGATTGCAATGCCTCCTGCTGAGGTAGCACAAGAAACAAGGCTTCCAGCAACAAACTGGTCATTAAAGAGGGCCCAGACCCAGGTCACATGAACTGACATCTGTCTCCAGGAGAAGATGTCCAGGAGACTGAACAAAATTTGCTCTATCACAGATGAAATTTCCCCTCAGGCTCAGTAGTCCTCCTTCCTGCATTGAGCTGATACCTATTATCACTGCTGTGTTATCAACACAGAAATGAGTCCTGGTAACAAGACTGGCAGAGGGGGAAAGCACCAGCATTTAAAGGACCAGGGTGGGGGGGGTTTCCTGCAGAGAGCATATTATATCCATCACAGTGTTACATATATTAGCTTCAGTACTTAAGCTGCTCAATTTAAATGGCAAGGGGTGACCTGGCAAAGGGCTTTCACTGGAGGGAAGGCTTTGCTCACTAGCCTTCAAAAGCCTCCTTTTGATGACTTTCAGAAGTCTTTGCAGGGTCTCTTAGGCTGTAGCTGAGTCAGTACTGTGGAGAGCTGTTCACTTGCTCGAAGCATAGGAAGGAAAAACCAAATAATTAGGATAATTTTTTCCCTATGCAGTATGAAGGAATCAGCTATTTTCAATAAGGGCTCAAAACTTTTTCTGGATGCTTTCTTCAGGAATCCCAAAATCAATCAGTAGCAAAATACATTTTATTTAGTGTATTTTTCTATAAAGAACTATTTTTGAAAAACCTATGGGAAATTTTACCATGGAAAATTGCACGAATTCTCCTTGGTTTCATTCTCAAGGCATTCTGATCCTCAGCAATTAGCCATTTTTGGGACCAAATCCCAGAGTTATCAGTTAAGATGTGAATTCTCTGCGCTTTGGCATACCTTGAGTATCAGAGTCCAGGTTGAAATGGACAAATACAATAGCAGAAAGGTCTTATTTTAGTGATGCTGAAATCATGACAACAGATAACTGCACGGAGAGAAGGAAAGACTAAATAAAGGGCTTAAGAAATAAACAAGTCATCCTCCATAAAAATTCATCTGGAGGTAAACACCTATGCTCTTTTTCAATCTGGTCTACAAAGGTTACCCAGAAATGCTGCAGATGCCCCCTCCCTGGAAGTGTTCAAGGCCAGGCTGGATGGGGCTTTTGGCAATCCGGTCCAGTGGAGGGTCTCCCTGCCCAAGGGAGGGGGGTTGGAACTAGACGATATTTGAGGTCCCTTCCAACCCAAACCATTCTATGAATCTATAATTCTACGAAATCCAGCACTTCGTGGGATAAGGTGAGTCTGCAATGTCTTCTGTGAACAGCGTGTACTGTACTCTGGTAGTATCCCACTGACACCCAAGAACAGCTCCTATTGTCTAATTAGCTTTAGACCATGGTTTGCAGCCCCCTAACAAAAGAACACATTTTGCTCTGAACAATTCACTCTGCTGAAAGCTTGCATATATATTTTTCCCCATCTTGGGATTGTTTTACTGTTTGGAGCCAGTCCATTTCTTCATCCATATAACAATGAGATTTTACAGTAGAGTCAGTTTCATGCATCACTTCACTGCTGTGACTAAAATGTAACCGAGCTTTGGTGTGATTGGTGTGAAATCCTGCTGCTTTACTTATCAAGGACTGAAACCACTGGAGTCCTTAATTTAAAACTAGAACTAAAAGGTACTGTAGACTGGATGCAAATAACTTCAAAGTATTATTACAAAATTTCAGCATCAGAGATTCAATTTAAAGGCAAGACAGATATAAAGAGATGCACCAGAGCAGTAAGCTGGATACTTGGGGGACAGTGTTTGCCCCCTCCTCCCCCTTAAATCCTATGCTTAAATCCACCCTCATTTCACATAGCGCTATGGCATGTGCTTACCTTGAAACACTGATTTTAATCAAAGGTAAGCACTGAAATCGGGGATTGCAGCTAACACCATGTCTTATTGAGAAGGGACAGCCTTAAAGACTGGAGAGGAGAGAAAACCTCTACTGCTAGCCACTGACTGATTTTAAAAAGACAGGCAGTCTGTTAGGGTTTCTTTTAACACTTTATCTATTCCAAATTCATATATGGCCCTAACATTGTCATATCTGAACATTTTAGACTTTTTTTCATGCATCAGTCACAGACCAGAGCTGAGGTGTAAGAGATGGTAGCCACCTTGCCACAGTATTCCCATACCTAATGTACCACTTATGGGTACAAGTTACTCCCAGGGAGATTCCGATCGGACACAAGAGGAAAATTTTTCTCAATGAGAACAATCAGCCATTGGAATAATCTCCCCAGGGAAGTGGCGGATTCCCCAGCATTGGACACTTTTAAGATTCGGCTGAACAGGGTGCGGGCCCATCTTTTCAAGACAGGGCTTTTGCCTAGAAAGGTTGGACCAGATGATCCTTGAGGTCCCTTCCAACCTGGTATTCTATGATTCTATGATTCTATGTCAAGGCCATCTACAAGCAAGGCAAGGATTCAGGCAGGGGCAGACCAGTCAGCCTAACCTCAGCCCACGGTAACATTAAGGGGTAAATCCTCCTGGAAGCAATGTCCAGGCACAG